TCTGGAGAAAGAAGAGGTGGAGAGGGATGTTCAGGAGGACAGCAAGATCTGAGGAGCCAGAAGATGGTCAGAAGGAGAATGCATGACTGGAAGGGTCCCAAAGACATTGGATGTGGGAGATTTTCTCTGCATCTTTAGGTGAACTGAAGGCATCTGAACATGTCTCATGCTTTCAGCTCCTTATCACCATATTCAGGCACCTCACTGGAGCCATGTCAGGAAAAAAAAAAGTAAGTTTCTCAATGAATCACTTGTGCTGAGTAGTTCTGCTGCACAGACATAAGTGCAAAGCACTCTGGTCCGGTGGCTTGCTGCAGTTACACTGATCTACATGCTGTCTGCACTCGGAACCCTTGTGTTCTGAGACACTGTCTATCGTGAGCAAACCAATCTTGTTTTAGAGAGAATAAAATGAGATCTGAATGGCAAACAGTTCCAATAAAAGGAGCTAAGCCTTAGGAAAAGATTTCTCATGGTCTTGAAGTGCCTTGCAGCTGCCAGGCCAAGCTGCAGGCTGCCATGGCTTCTTTGCATTGGCTAGCCTGATTTGTGCAAGTGCCAAGTGGGGCTGTGGGTACCTGAGAATGCAAGAAAACCTTTGTATGGTGCTGAGAAATCCCTCTTTAGGTACCCGTGGTAGGCAGAAGATATATGCAGTCATAGTTAGAGAAAAGATATTCTGCAGTTGGAAGAAAACAGCATAGCATTTCTTCTACACCAGTGGGAATGACCTATGGTCCCTGCTTTTCTATTCAGCCTGTTGTTTATTGCTCACAAACGATGAAATAGCTCACATTTAAAGTTTTTGCTCGTCTTAAAAACAAGACTCAATCAAAAAGGAACTCTTTGAAAGAAGTTTTCAGCAATAATTTACTTCAGCATAATATGAACAAGCTTGAACTGAAACTTTTATGACCTATGACTTGTCAGATTTTTCTCCACAGACCTTACCCTTTAGCACATTTTTCACAATAATACAACCCAATCTGTTTATTATTTTCAATTTTAAAAAGTAAAAAAATATTGCATCCTCATGAAAATTGCTCCATTGTTGGGCTGTTTGAGTGGTCAGCGTAATATATCATTGTTTGATCTGGCAGAACCATCTATTTATAAGCTAGTAGGTGTCAAACTATTTTTTTGGCAAAACTGAGAAGACACCTGGTTTAGTTTAGATTCCTCGCTGTGCAATTCCAAACATCGCTCAGTGCTCTTGGATTTAAACTCAGGCTAGGATCCAGACTTAAGAGTGCTGCTGTCATTCACAAGAGGCTCAAGGGCCTCTCCTCTCGAGGTTCATGAGATCATAAATTCTCTTTTAATTTTTCTTTTCTCGTCACTCTAGTCTAGGCAGAAACATAAGGTAGGGTACATATTAAATGTAAGTGAGGTGCAGAGAGTTCTGTTCACTGTTTCAGAGTTGCCTGTATTAACCAACAGAGGTAGTAGCGATGCGATTAATGAAAGTTTGCTGATGAGATCAAGAGGGGGGAGCCACATTTGAGGAACTGTGATAAAACTTTGGAAGGTAGCACAACCGTGTGCCATACTTGGGAACAGGAATCAGAAACGTTGTATTTCTGTACTGAAGTAAGCTTAAGGGAGCAGGCTAACTTCTTAAAAGGTGATATTCAGTAACAGTGAAGTAATGCCATTACAGAGGTGTGTTTTTAGTTGACTAGTTTCCTTTCCTTAGACTCAGTGTAGGATGTACTGTGCATTTCAGTCAGCTGGATTGCGTTGTGTGACAGAATTTGGGATGTATGTATGATTTGCTTAGTTGTGAAATTCAAGAGCTTATATTGACAGATTCATTTTCATTTCAACTCTAATTGTTTAAATGTCTCATGAAGGGCACAGGGCTTATTGCTGTCAAGTAACTGGAAAGAATAAAGCTGTGTTATGCAGCACTGCGTGCATGCTCAGCACTTGCATAAATGTAGTAGTAAAGATGAGGAAGAAAACATGGTGAGAGCGAGTGAGAAAGAGGAGGATGAGAGAAAAAAGAAATGTATACATCCTGATCCTACACTGGTGTTCCTTGTTAAGCCAGTGATCCAGTAACATCATACCATTGCATCATTACCATGTTGGGCCTTTAGCAGGTTTTATTTTGCCTCTGTGGTGGATCTTCTGTCTTCTCCCCGAGAAGGAGCCCTGTGCAAGGAGCTGGCCAGTTGTCTAAATAGGCTCCAGCCCCTCTTGATTATTTTCTCTTCATCATCTGGTGAGGGAGATAGGTGGTCTGAAAAACAGAGTCCAAGTGAAATGGTTCATGCCCAGAGTAGCTAAGCAAAGACTCTGCTTTCTTTGCGAAGAAAGCAAAACTATGCTTTGAGGCCAACTTATTTTTCATAATTTATTTTGTAATGTAAGCCAATGCAGTAGTTTAAGAGAAATTTATTTTAAGCTTTAAAGGGCAAAGGACCTGTATATTTAACCACAGGCTAAGTTTGACTTAAGTACACTGAAGTCAGCAATGGCTGTTACCTTGGTGACATTCTATCTCTTACTAGGGACAGTCCTTCTGCTCCCGCAGACTTCATTCTGACTCTCTTCAGTAAAACAACCTTGGGAAGAAGAAATGGAGCTTGATTATGAGTGAATGAGTAGTTTTTAGTGGCAACTGAATACTTACCAATGTAGTGAGAAACACTGCATCGTCATTTCTGATGTGTTAGGAACTCAGTTGTGTACTGAATGAAGAGTCAGGCACCTAAAACTGGCACCAACATCAGTCATCTTGCTGAGAAGGTTGAGAAAGGCTGCCAAGAGCAATGTCAGAGAGGAGAGATTCTCTGAAAGACTTCCTACAACATTACTTCAGGTTAATCAACGTTACCTGCAGGCTGGATTTAACCAACTTGGGCTTCACAGCAGTCTGGTGTGTGCTGGTGCTGAGGTGGTCCATTGGGTGGGTTTTCTATTAAAATACAGTCCACAGTAGTAACAACATTTTGTGACATGGACCTCAAGTTCTAGGATTTGGTAGAGAGGTAAGCTTCAGACCTTTTTTAGCCCAAGAATTTTCCAATATACCTATTCAATTTCACACTGGAAGATAAGTTGGGATGAGCAAAGATGATTCTCCACTTTTCCTGTTGAAGGTGCTGGGGCCAGAGGTAGCATTACAATTGCCATTCCAGCTTTTTTGTCTTAAAAATAATTTAAAATAATATTTCACAGCTTTTAAATATAGTACAGTGGGAATGTTTAGTCTGAAGGAGACTCAGGAGACCTTATCACTCTCTAGAACTACCTGAAAGAAGTGGGGATTGGCCTTTTCTCCCAGGTGACAATGAAAGAATGAGAGGTGATGGCCATTTCCCACGTGTAACATGAAGTCCCAACATGGGATCCTTGCTCTTCTTGAAGGCTTGTTAGCTGAGTCTTGACAATGAATAGTACCTCCAGTTCTGCACATATATTAAAAAAGATGGCCCATACTAGTCGTGGTGGCATAGATTTGCTTTATGAGGATGTTGCACACAACAGCACAAGCTAGTAGGTTCTGCTTTTTATTTGGTGGTAATCTTGATCAATAGCAGCTAAATCATTTACAGAAGAAAAAGAAATGAAAAGTTCACATCTATACTCCAGCTGTGCAACAGGATCTTGGGTTTTTCCCCATCTTCTCCTCCCAGAGCTTGTCAGCAGTAGGAATTCATATTAATAAAAGCCAGACTTATTTCTGTGCAGGTGTTTCTAGGGTGATTGTAATCTTTCTGATTAATTGCATCTGCAAGAGACCTCATCATTACAAGCAAGATAGAAGTTGAGAAAGAAAGTGCTCCTACAGAGAGCTTGCAACTAAAATAATATACGTTCTGAGCCTCATGGAATTATAGGTGAAGTTTGACAGTACAACAAAGATAGGTCTGAAATGTCATTATGCCACTGAGTTCTTAGAACCCCACAGCAATGTAATGGACTGGCAAAGGCAAAAGAGCCCGATGTGATTAGGTAGTGCTGACATCCAGCTTTTGGAGATTAAGCTGCATTACTAAGATTAGGGGCCCTTATCAAATTCTAAGTCCCAGGAGACTGTTCAAAGTCATCTGCCCCAAGTCAGTAAGGAAATAGCTGCAGAGAGGTGAAGTTCTGATCTGGTAAAAATAATATTTTACTGCTCCTGAAGGTCTCAAGGATGACAGACTTGAAGACTGGGCTCTTGTTTGCTTGTGCAGAGCAGCAACATAAGGTTTGGTATATTACAAACTTAGAGGCCTCACCCTGTATTTGGCACAACAACATTTAATTGAGATGGAAATTGATTAACAGACACTAATCAAGGCCACATTTCTTTCTACTGTCTTAATTGGGCCATCTGAAACGTTTGCAAGTGGTTGTCATTCCAAGCTGAAGTTTTAGGGAGAGCAGGATATATTTACACATGTAAAATGCATTTACTGTAATCTGTCTAGAGGCTCTCAGTCTTTATGGCCACTGCCTGAGTACAGCTGTCACAGAAAGGTGATACTGGGAGAGGTGGAGAGGATCTCAGGTTCCTGGTGGTCAGACTATCCCTTTCTTCTCATTCTTGCTGCTGCTGCCAGATCTTAGATCTTATCTCAGATCTTGCTTGGTTGCCAGGGACTGAGATTCCTTTCCCCAAATGTTCATCACTACTCAGAGTCTATCTGTGTGTATGGCACAAACTCTCCATTCTCAACTGGTGGCATGACAGTCCTCTGGTTTTTGCACTGTTACTTGTAGAGAGACAAATGGAAGGAATCCTCCAGTGTCGTGCATCCATGACCTAAAGTCAAAAGGCTGTCTAAGTTGTTATTGGAGGAGATCCAGTTGTAGAAAGAAAAATTCTTGCCAAATCAGCTAGGGAAAGTTGACTGAAATATGTTTGAACAGACAAATTGTTCAGCCATGCAGCTGGCTCAACAGGGGAAACTGTTATTCCTGGGTAATTTGAAGCAACTATATATATGTATGTTTAAATATATATACTGCACAGTCTTTCTAGTAGTCACCATTTCTCCCAGTAGGAAGTCTGCAATCCAAGGAGAGAGAACTAAAAGCTACAAATTCAGTGCCCTCTCTGCCCTTGAGGGTAATCTCCTCTTTCTTCATGGGAGTAGCTGACTGCAGATGTTGCCAAGCACTTGCTCTGTGCAGTAGAAGATGGCATTTCTCATGCCCTGACTGGCTTCCCCATTCCATCCTGCCTGAACAAACCACACCAGATTTCCTTTGCCTCATCGTGTTCCACAGAAAGCAGAAAGCCATTTGGTTTAGTGAACCTGGTTGCAAAATCCACAGATGGGTCTTCATCAACAGCTAAACATCATTGCAGAACCATGGTATGTATTTGTTAGCAAAACATTTTCAAGTGCCCTGTTCTGTATTAATTTGCATTCAGGACTTGGCAGCAGCACTGAATTTTGTATTTGTTTTGGGACACCGCAAGAAGAAAATCTGTTCCTGTCGAAGCACTCACCCTTCCCTGCCAGCCTGTTTCTGATGGGATAACAGGACACAGCTGCTCAGGATCCAGCCTTCCAGGTGGTAACGGAAGGGTTAAACTGGGCCCCAAGCACTTGTTCTTCCAGTGCACCCTGCACTCCTCACCCTCCGGGATTTATGGTCATCTCGTCGCATGTTAAAAAGATTATAGGGAAAATATGTAAATGAAAAGTTACTAAGTGGAGCAGAGTGGTGTAAAAGCAGACCTATTAGCAACAGGATCCAAGGCTCCGCATATGCTACGTTTCTGTTGCTGGAATTATCATCAAAGAGCTTTCCAAGGCTTCCTGGCCCAGATGGATTTTACATCCTTATGCACTAGCCCTGAGCCAAAGCCAAATTTGCAGGTGAAGCCGATGCTGCAGCTCATGTGGAGGTGCCTGGCTATGTGCGTCTGTCCCTCACCCAGCTGGGGGTCTGGCTCCCACAAGTGGAGGTTTCCTCAGAAAGGTGACTGTGGGGAGAACTTTGCTTCAGACTTCCACTACTGATTTAGAAAAAAAAAAAAAAAAAGTAGTGCTAAGGACAAGTGGAATTTAATGAGGCTTTGTCCTGTAGGTTGAGAATACACATTACAGCCTTCTCTTTCCTCCTGGAGGCTCAGTGTCTTTGCCAGCAGCCCTTGGGTCAGTGCTTTAACTTGGTTCTTTCCTTCCATTGCTGGCAAAGAATTCTGAGACATAAATAGCAGAACAAAGTTCCTCAAGAACACTCAGCTGTCAGCACCTGCATGGCTCATGGCTAGGACTCCTGTGGTACCTGGCAGCAGTGGGGCAGCAGGACACTGAGTGGGAAGAGCAGACCCCATATGCCCAGGTCTCTGCTCTCCTGAGAGCAGTGCTCCTGCTGTGTAACTGATGGAGTGATTTCATACACCCCTTTTCCCCAGGAGAAGAACTAGGGCCTCATCCATGGGTGTGCTCCAGGGCTAGACTGCAAGATCTGGGGATGGATATTATTTAAGCATCAATGAGCTATACTTAAACTGTTGCAGAATGCGGCAGAGCTCCCATTTAATTCCCTAACAAAAGGCTGTCAGGGTACAAAGCTGGATCCCATTCTGCAGCCTAGAGGTGTAGTCAGGGTCTCAATTACATTCCCTGTCTGTGAGGACATTTGCACTGATTGCACAGACAGCTCTGATCCCATATGCATCATAAGCAGAGAGCTTGGGGCTGCTGATGGGGAACCAGATGGGCATATTCAAGTCACCTTCAACCTGGTCTTTGGAAACCTAGGACTGAGACAGCTCTTAAAAACATGACTCCTCAAACAATAACAACAAAACCAGCATGTGACTAAAAGCTGGAAGGAGGCACTGCCAGGATTACTCTTGGCAATCTGTCATTCTACGAATCTGCTTCTTGCCACACTTATGCGAGGCACATCATTGAACATTTCCTGACTCTTTGCCTAGGATGCTATAAATGCTGTCCAAATAGCAAGGTCTTGCTGCTGCTCTGATACATCTGGCTGAACGGCATGAAGCAGCATGCCAGAGGCTGATGGAGTCCCCACAGGACGTGCTGCGTCTGTCAGACTCTCCGAAGAGCCGGGTGATGAATGATAGCGCTAACATTACACAGCTTGCCTCTGATGTTTTGCAAGTGTCCCTCCCCAACAGCTCACCCTCTGCCCTGTCTTCTAGGAGATAACCCAGCACAACAGAACATTACCTCATTAAGAAAGCTAGCTCTAATTAAATCCAGGCAGGGCATCACCTCCCTTATATTTGCTTGAGGAGTCCACCCTGCCATTTAAATTCCTCTTTGAAAGATTAATGTCCACACATGTTGCAAAGAGTGATGTTCTTAGAAGCGGTCAGTTTGGAGCAGATATTAGACATGGTGAAAACAAGCATCAACAACAAAAAGAGCAATTGCAGGTTCTTTGGATGTTCATCACACTCTGGAGGTTGCATGTATGTGTGTGCAAATGTGTGTATGCACATACTTGTGTGTGTATGTTTGGAGTGGGAGTACCATAGAGATAATAGTTTAAAAGAAGTTGAGAGGCATGATTTAGTCCAAACCCCATATTAATACTATACAGGCACATTGTTTAGCCACAAGATCTGTTTTGCTACAGCATGCCTGTCTGTACCTGAAGAAGCAGAATACCAGCTGAGGAATATCAAGAACAATTTGCAGGACACCCATGGCAGAGCCTTCTGCAAACACGTTGTCACATTAACTCCTCCGTTCTTCCTATTACTCCAAGTTTGAAAGAGAAGAATGGCTGGGTAAGAGATGGATTTTTGCTGGCTCTTGAGTGGATGGATAGGAAAGGGGAATATGAATCATATTCTTGAACTCACAGCTCAGTTTTTGTAGCACTCAGGTTTTTGTCTCCTGATGACTCTCTGGTTTATTTTAAACCAAGGATTTTAAGTTCAAAAATGACTTAATTTGGAATAATTTGAAGCAAGCCAGTAGCATCATTTAAGTCACTTCATACTTATTTTGCCTTTTATTCCTTCAGAACTTTTGACAGAGAGCACTGCCATGATTTGTGTGGAATTCCCACTGCAGGAGTGGCTTGGCATGGCAGAAGCACTTTTAACATAGAAATATTACTGCCACCACCTGACTGACAAATCCAAGGTCCCCAAGCAGTGACCATATCCTGACAGGACAGCAGCACAGGCTTCATTCCATGATGCTCCTCAAGTATGCCAGCACAAGCAGTTAATCTTTTTCCTCTCTCCATTTTCGTGTGGCTCAGTTCTGTTGGATGGTTTGTAACCTTGCCACCTCTTGCAGTGGTACTGGCTTAATTCTGGTGGGTGAAATAATGAAGATGAAAAAAATGAAGCCACTTAAGTATAGCCTGCATGCGATCTGTGGTGCACTGTTTGCAGTAGGACAGTAGGAAAAGAACTTTCCTATGTTCCTGGCTGTTCACCTCTAACCTTGGAGCACCAAAGCTCACTGCTTTCCCTTCCAAGGGCCCCGGAATCAACCTCTATTTTTGATGGTCCACCCAGGAGCCCCATGTTTGGATGGTGTGTTCAGTTCATATTAAACTGGTCAGTAGCCAAGCTGTAAGGAATATCTATGGAGTCACATTTCTTTCAGGGAGCTCAGAGGTCCAAAAGCATTACAGTTATATCCAATATGCGTGCAGTTGACAATAGCCAATTTTAAAAACATGTACAAATCTTATCAGGTGCTGCCTGCTTTGCTGAATTAGTTTTCCATATATTCAAATCACAGGTTATCATGATTTGTCATACAGTTATCAAATCACAGGTTATCATAGGTTATTATGATTTGTGTACTAAACATCCTTAATTTTGCATTTGTAAGATGATCCTCGAAGCCATGAAAAGCATGCTTAACAGCATGTAGGTGAAAACCTTTATAACACTTTTTGCAGTTCAGTTCTCAAGCATCAGGTAAACAACTAAATGCAAGTGTCTGTGGGTTGGTAGGCCAAAGTACTTTCTTTGAAGAAGAGAGGCTTGATAGGAAAAAATGTGTTTAAATAGCTACGACTACAGCCTAGAATTCACAGTTGCCAGTGTTTCATTTCATGTAGGCTCCTTCAAATCCCTTTCCCATCTCAAACAACCTCTAAAGCAGCTCCTCCCATCAAAGAAACTGGTTAGGCTTAGACAGTGAGCTGAAGACATGGCTGTCTAAATAGCATGGGCAACAACTTCAGGTCACTGTGGCAATGTTTTGTGAAGAGTGCTAAAGAAAACAGATATACTTTATCAGGGTGGGGGCACAGTGCTGTTTAATTAGAGTGTCTCTTGGCCAAAACATCCAGGACCATTGAGTATAAACCTCAACTTTTTCATGCATTTAGTAGAGACAGGTATCCTGAAAGAAGGCTACTGATCTGCTGTGCATGTCTCTCCCCTAGCAAATGCTTGGCTTCAAACCTGAGCAAGGGAATTGAGATTTAAAACTGAAATGTTAGACTTAATGCTCACCTTAATGTGCATGTAGGGACATGAGAATAGATTTCAAGGGGAAGAGCCAGTTTGAATCTTTGCCCAAATCTTTGTCCCCAGTGTTGAGATTCAAGAATAATCAGGTGGGAAAAAAAATAAAAAAGTCTCTTATTTCTGTGCTCTCCATTTCCTGGTCCCTTGTTCAAAATGAGATCGTTAAGTATTCCAAGCACATCTGTTTTCTAGCAAGACTCAAAGTATCAGGAACACATGGAAACACACCAAGAAAACCTATTATTGGGATGCCTGATCCCAGGAGGCATTCAAGGCCAGGCTGGATGTGGCTGTGGGCAGCCTGGCTTGGTGGTTAGAACTAGATGATCATCGTGGTCCTTTTCAACCCAGGCCAGTCTGCGATTCTGTGAAATCACCAGCCTGGCTATGGAATAGTACTTGAAGATGTCAGGAAGCCTTAGCAAAGCTGGCAGACATTTGAGGTGCTGTTATCAGTAAGACAATTTCACTAGGCTCTCAGAATGATAACTGACCTTACAACCCCAAGTGGATCCCTGCACTTCCATTTATTGTAGCATTCAGACTCTGAATGTAGTGGAAATGCTAGGTTAGGGCTTGAACCAGTGACTGAGCACCTGAGAAGGCAGGGCCAACACAGGGAAGCTCATGTACCTGAGCATGTACCTGAGTGCATAATCAATGAAAACTATACAAAGGAATATTATATAATCAAATAATATTGAGATGTTATAATGAAATAAACAAGAGAGTTAGGCACAGCAAGACAAAGAGAATAAATAGGATGCTTACCCGTGTCCTGGGCTCGCTCAGGAACCTCCAGTGGAGTGGATCTTCCAAAGAGAGAGAGAGAGATCCTTCCCCCCTGGTAGTCAGCTCTTAAATGGGTCTAGGAGAGGTGGAGCCAGGCTCCACCCCTTCCTGCAGCACAGGTGAATTGCTTTCACCTGTGCTCCCAGGGCTGACTCATTGCTCGCCTCTGGTGATTAATCAGAGGTTCAGGCCATGACTCAGCAGTTCCCATACACTCCACCCCTTCACAGCGTGAACCAATGATCAGGTTGACTAATGGGTAAGCTTTTCCTAATACAGAGACCCCACTTATATCACGACGCTTATACAATTTCCATCGCAACGCATATCGGTACAATTCAAGACAAGTGGCGATTGGTGAAGGTTGATATTCTTGTATGGACCAGTGCTCGATGAAGTTACTGGAGGCATGCGGTCGTCAGGTGCAGGTCCGCCTTATGTTCCATCAGTCCCATATAGGCCATCAGTGGGTGTTGCACATGATCTGACTGTAACAGTGGAACGCTTTGATGGCATTTCATTCCTTCTGGTGATCCTGAAAGCTCAAAGACTCACGGGGAGTAATACAGATGTTTCAAGGGTACCAGGAGGGGAAGGTCTGCTCTCCAGGGCAAAATACAGGCCGTATTTCTATCCTGGGTCAACACTTCCACTTGTACTGGGGCACATCCCGGCCGCCTGTATCACACCTTCTGGCCAGATATCTGTGGCTGCATAACTATGTCAGGCACCAAAGGAGGTGT